CATCACGTGTCTCACTCGTTCACTTTATGATTTGACATACGAGTAATTTGAGTTACGAGCTCCGTCAAGGAACGAATTAAACTTGTAAGTCAAGGCCCCACTGTACTTAGTGGCTTAAAGCAACATGAATTTATCATCTTGCAGTTCTGGAGATCAGAAGTCTGAAATCAGTTTAACTGAGTTAAAATCAAGATGTTAGCAGGCTGGCGTTTTTTTTTTCTGAAGGTTCTAGGGGAGATTCTTTTTCCTTTTCCAGCTTCTAGAGACTATCTGCATTCCTTTGCTCATGGTCACCTCCCTCCATCTTCAAAGTACATCACTCCAACCTTTGCTTCCATCATTCTATCTTTTTTTTCCTCCTGTCTTTGACTTTCTTGTTTCCCTTTTATAAGAGCCCCATAGAGTCTACATTCAGCCCATGGGGTAATTCAGGATAAACGTTTCATCTCAAGATTCCTCATTACATCTGCAAATTTCATGAAAGATAACATTCACTGGTTTGAGGGAATAGGACCTGGACATCTTTCCTGGGCTACTGTCCAGCAACTATACTGTCTATGACTAGAAATGAACACAGTTGCTGGCCCTGGCTTGCAGTATTGCTTATAGGCACTATGCTTATATAAATAAAGTAACTGGCCATACATGTGATATTTAAATAGCATTCCTTAACTGCAAATAAGTATATGCACAATTACTACAAAAAAGTGCTATCACTTTTACTTGCACAATAGCACTGTTCATTTCCAAATACTGTAACTAAGAAATAATGTAAATTTCATAGTTGATCAATGTAACAGACATTTATCATATTTCTCATGTGAGCATCAAATGCTTTCTTTCTGTTTTTTTTTTTTTAATCCTCTCCTGAGGATATTTTTTTCCATTGACTTTCAGAGAGAGTGGAAGGGAGAGAGGGAGGGAGAAAGAAAGAGAGACATATCTAGTGTTTGCCTCCTTCACATCCCGACCAGGGCCAGTGATCAAACCTGCAACCTAGGTACACATCCATGACCGGGAATTGAACCCTGGACTCTATGGTAAGCAGGCCAACACTCTATCCAATGAGCAACACTGGCCAGGGCTCAAATTCTGCTTTTTAATAGCTCCCTGAATTTGTTTTTGAGAAATTACTTATTTCTAACCATGTGTGCTTTTGGAAGGGTAATAAAACCAGGTGACTGCCTTCCATTCTGGAAGTCAAAAACCAGCCCTCTCCCTATGCTGATACAGCCAGGGAGTTAGTGCCTGAATGAAGGTTGGCTAGTCAAATGCTCTACCCTGTGACTCGCATCTTGATCCAGTAATGTGAAGTTGGAAATAACAGATGGCATTTACTCATGTTGACTGAGCAGCACCAAATCAAACTGTTTTTGTCTTCCCAGCTTCCTAGCCCTCCAGTTCTATCTCAAATCCTGCCTGTTTCCAAGATTGCTATCCAGACCTCTGTTAGGTCACCGAAGGAGGAATGCAGGAGGCCAAAATGGTGAGGGATTAAGAATTTATTCGATTATTCGCACACCAGGTGGCTGAGCTTGGAAGGGAGTCAGTGGCTTTTAAAGGACTTTTGGCGGGCTTTTTCTGGGCGGAGAATTCTCTGTGCATACCTGGAGGGGTGATAATGGAATGTGGTCCCAGCAAGTGAAATGTGGTCTCAGCAAAGGGAATGTCCTTAGTGAAATGGCCTGAAAAGGGGGGAGGGGAGCGGGCAGGAATTGATTCAAATGCTCCATCAAACCTAACACCCTCCCTTCAACTATGAAAGCTTTCAATATCTTCCCAATAAATTACTTTCTCATAAATTAGCCATACTTGGTTTCTGTCACTTACTACTACACTGAGGATTTACCTCCATTTCTTTGAGTGTTTAGTAATGGAAAATCACTCAGTAAAATTGCAGAAAGGCGATTATTTTTCTGAGTCATATCTTTATAGAAACTGTTTTCCACTTCCCTGCATTTTTAGAACTGTTTTCTTGAAAAAGGATATTCTATTAATATTTATAATTAGATATCACACAAAGCAGATGCTAAATCTTATGCTATAGCTTTATGGGTACAATTACATAAAGAAGATTATATACTCTTTGGCATCATGTTCTCTGTGGGAGCTGTGGCACAAATGATATTTTCCTATTCTTTTTCTTTTTTCCTTTTTTTGAGGGGGGGGGGGTATAGGCAAACCGTGATTGACCACGATTACTTTTAACTATTATCATTATCATCTTGAACATCAGTACTTAAGTGGCTAGAGGAGTTCAATGAATACTTGATTGACTTTTTTTTCTCTTTGACCCACATCACAATTCACCCAGTCACACCCTTTATAGCTATTCTTACCCTGAGGCCACAAGGATTAAGTACTGTTTTCAGAGAACATAAAGGTGAGGATCTCAGGCTCCATGAAAGAGCCAGGCTTCCAAAGGCACTTGGGGTGGGGAGTGGGAAGTTTACTGAGGTCAGAGAACAGGAGAGACAGATGTGGTTTTCTGATTACCCTTTGAATAATACAAACAGGAAGCGGTAGGATATATATTGTGCAATCTAAGCTGCACATTCAAGAACTATAGTGGTATAGATGGGGAAACTGAGGTTCTGAGCCATAATTGTTTGAAAGTAATGGCATAGGGGTTTGAACTGTAGGGTCCCAGGACCCCCGGTGTATCCGACGGAAGAGGCGACGGCCCCAAATCAAGCGCAGAGACCAGAACTTGATGCAAGAGCAAGAGGTTTCTTTTTATTACAAGCGCGGCGCAGGGACTCGCAGCCAGACAGGCAGCAACCCGAGGGAAGTGCTGGCTGACTGGAGTCCTGAGTAAGGGCAAAGCATGAGCTTATAAAGGCAAAAACCACACGCAGGTGGCCTGGAGAGCAGGAATTTGGTCTAACAATCAACTCATAATTCACTTCTCACAAGGACAGCCTGTGTTTGTAGTCGACTATTTCCCAAGGACAGCAGGAATCCGGGTTATCAGTTAACTCATAGCTCATCTCCTGCAATCTCCTGCAAGGACAGGCCAGTGTTTGTAGTTGCCTGAGGGGCAGAGTGGTCTGTCTTTACACCACCCGATCCCAGGAGGAGATAAGATAGCTATGCTATGACCAGACCAGAGCACCAGAGCTTACGGGAAAGGTCAGTTAAAACACAGGAAGGGGGGGAGGGTTTCTTTTTGATCTTACATTAACCAGGGCCTGCTGGAAAAGTTAGTTAAGAGGGGGAAGGGAGGTTTCAGCGGCCTTACATTCCCCCCTTTTCTTTTGGGGAGTTTCAATCATGGAACTAGAGACCTTCATCTAGGGACACAGGTTGATACTGTTGCTGAAGGACCATTACTTGAACCGCACTGATCCGGTCCCGGATGAAGGCGACTAGACGATTTAATATACATGGCCCGAAGGTTAGGAGTAGGAAGAGAATAATTAAGGGCCCTGCTAGTGAGGATATTAAGGTTGTAAACCAAGGTGAGCTGTTAAACCAACTTTCGAACCAGCCTTGTTTGGCTTCTCGCTCTCTTTTGCGAGTTTCTAACCTCTCCCTAAGTTTTGACATGGAATCCTTTATCACCCCTGAATGATCAGCATAGAAACAGCATTGTTCCTTGAGAGCTGCACACAGTCCTCCCTCCTTTAAGAATAAGAGGTCAAGCCCTCTCCTATTTTGTAGGACTACCTCAGACAAGGAAGTCAGAGACTCCTCAAGCTTAGTAATGGAGTGTTCTATATGTTTGAGGTCTTCGTCTATAGCAGCTCTGAGTTCTTCAGTATAGATAGGGCCTTTAATGAGGGCTGTTGCCCCTGTGCCTACTCCTGCCGCGACCCCTAGCCCTAGGAGAGTGGCCAAGGTCAGCGAGACAAGTTCCCGTTTATCTCGATGGGAAGGAGGATAAGAGTCAAATTCTTTTTCAAATACATTAGCTTGATAATACATGATCCTGGGGACCAACTGGACAAGGATGCAATAATCTTGAGAGCGGTTGAGGGCCTGGGCTGCTAAACATGGAGTAAGCCCCGTATTACAGGCCCACCATCCCCCTATTGGGGGTACTAAGTAAAACCTTGCAGAGGAAGGATTTGCTAAGATCTCACTGCAGAGATGCTGGCGATCTTTTGGCACTTGTCCTATACATGTGCCCTGCCCCGAGACCTCAGTGAGGGTTAGCTTCCCCTGCTGCCCCCACGAACAATGGTCATGGCTGGTGGTGTTGGTATAGTTTCCCCGGAAGGCTATTCCTTCATAGTAGGGAGGCCCCGTTGTTAGACAAAGCCAGCAAGACTCAGTCAGGTCAGATTTGGACATGTTCAGGAAACTGTAGGCCCCCTCTACTAAACCTAACAGTCTTTGACCAGTGCTAGGCTCTGAGTTTATGGGGTCTGCCGGTTCTCCTCTGGGAGCTGGGCTGGTCGTTACCGGCACTGAGGTTGTGGGGAGGGGCCTCTTTCTCTCAGGGAACTGCCGGCCGGACAAGGCGGGATTTGGTCCCACCGCTACTGGTGGCCTTGGCCTGTATTCTTGTACATCCAATATTATTTTAAAAAGGAGGCCATCATCATGTTGGTTCTTGTACAGTCGGAGCCCCCAAGTTATTCCCCGGCGCCATTTGTTTAATTCATATGACCGCCCAGCCAGGGTAAAGGAGATATTCAGGGTGTTGATCCAACCCCCCCAGAGCCTCCTGTAGCTACCTTCCCTTGGCCTCTTAACCTGGATGAGGTCCCACGCAGGGGGCCCTTCAACCCAGTATCCAGTACCAGTCGTCTCACATCCCCATCTGGCACAGAAATACTCTTGTTCAGACCCACAATTCTTTCTGTGTCCCTGCCTATCTTTAGGGCACACATAGAACAAGGTTCTCGAAAGACGCTCACGGGTCTGTTGGTTTCGGCATAGACCTGCATCGGCAACCCAGCTCCCCTCCCGCGCGCCAGTTGGCCTTCTTGGTCCCTGAATTGTTTTCTTGGTGTCGTCTATGCTAAGCTTTGGTATGTCCCACAGTGTATGCCCTGCAGCCATGGCACAGAGATCTGGTGTTAGATCCGGCCACCAGGTCCCTGGCGGGGCTACGCTGGTGGTTGACCAAGCAGTCTGTCCAGTGTGGGGGGACATTACCCTCCAAGTTAGTCTTTTTGGGGCATGGGGGTTGCTACTTATCAGCGGCAGGCTCAGCAGGAGGAGGGCAGCGGCGAATCCGTAGCTTGAGAGGGTTGTCTGTCTTCTCTGCAGCCCATCCATGGTAGGTGTCATCTGAAGGGGGTGCTCGCTTGACGTGGGAGGCGTGGATCCAAGCAGCTACGCCGTCTACCTTGACCGCTGTCGGGGTTGTCAGCAATACCAGGTGGGGTCCCTTCCACCTCGGCTCGAGGTTGGCAGCTCGATGGCGTCTGATGTAGACGAAGTCCCCAACCTGGAACTGGTGGGGAATCTGTAGTTCTCCTGGTTGGTAGAGGGCAGCCAGGGGGGTCCACACCTCCTTTTGGACAGTCTCGAGAGCCTTCAGCCTGGCAAGCAGGGATTGAGGGGTATGAGTGTCTGTGGGCACAGACCATGGGTCAGCGGACAGGGGCGGAGGGGCCCCAAACAGAATCTCGAACGGAGTTACTCCTAAGGGACCTGGAGTATTTCGCGCGCGGAAAAGGGCAAAGGGAAGGAGGACCGTCCAGTCTGCCACGCCAGTCTCTAAGGACAATTTAGTCATAGCCTCTTTTAACGTTCTGTTCATCCTTTCTACCTGACCTGAACTCTGGGGCCTGTAAGCACAATGTAATTTCCAATCCGCCCCCAGTATCTTGGCCATTCCCTGACTTACCTGGGCAACGAAGGCCGGACCGTTGTCTGATCCGATTACCTTTGGAACTCCAAACCGAGGGAAGATATCTTCCAAGATCTTCTTGGCGACCACGGTTGCAGTCTCCCTCTTGGCTGGAAAGGCTTCTACCCAACCTGAGAAAGTATCTACAAAGACTAAAAGATATTTATAACCGTAGCGGGCAGGTTTCACCTCTGTGAAATCTACCTCCCAGTAACTTCCTGGCCGATCTCCCCTCAGTCTCTGTCCCGTCCCGACCTGGGATGGGTGTATGTTTACTAGCTGGCATGCCTTGCATTGTCTGACTACTTCCTCTGAGAGGCGATCGAGTCCTTTGACATAATGTCCAGTGGCCCGGCTGGTGGAGCTGAGGTGTTTGGCCCCCAGGTGAGTGAGGCGATGTAGCTGTTGGAGGTAGGCGGTGGCCGCTTCCCTTGGCACTACCATCTTGTCCCCCGTGGTCCTCCAAACCCCGAGTTCGTCCTTGTGGTATTTTTCTGGCCTTTTAAACAGGTCTTCCTCTTCCTCTGGGGTGTAGAGGAGGGCCTCTGGCTGGGATACCACGGGACCGACAGCAAGCGTAAGTAGCCGGGGCCCAAGAGCGGCTTGTCTCGCCTCAGTATCCGCTTTCCTGTTTCCCACGGCTATCTCTGAGGTCCCTTTTTGATGGCCGGGACAGTGGATGATAGCTACTTCCCGTGGGGCATGGACAGCCTCTAGGAGGTCAAGAATCTCTTGTTTATTCTTAATTTCTTTTCCTGCTGAAGTGAGGAGACCTCTCTGACGGTATATGGCCCCGTGCACATGAGCAGTGGCAAAGGCATAACGGCTGTCAGTGTAAATATTAGCTCGGCTGCCTTCTGCAAGTCTGAGGGCCTGGGTTAATGCGATTAATTCAGCCTTCTGGGCTGAAGTCCTTTCGGGCAGGCTACTAGCCCAAATAGTCCGGTCCCGATCAACTACAGCTGCACCTGCTACCCTCTTACCTTCATAGAGGTAGCTGCTGCCATCTGTGAACCAGGTGAGCTGAGGTCCCGACAGGGGAGAGTCCTTAAGGTCTTTCCTTGGCCCTGTCTCTTCTGCTAGGATGTCGCGACACGAGTGTAGAACTTCTTTCCCCTCAGGATCTACTTCCGGCAATAGGGTTGCCGGATTGAGGGCCACCGGGGCCCCGAAATGGACCCGATCTTCGTTTAGCAGGAGACTCTGGTAGTGGGTCATCCGAGCATTGGACATCCACCGGTCCGGCGGTTGCCGGATAATGCTCTCGAGGGTATGTGGGGCCACTACAGTCAGTTTCTGCCCCAAAGTAAGCTTGTCTGCATCCTTCACGAGCAGGGCAGTGGCTGCGATTGCTCTCAAACAGCCTGGCCACCCTCTAGCCACGGGGTCTAACCTCTTGGATAAGTAGGCCACTGGCCTTTTCCATGGGCCTAAAGTCTGAGTTAGGACCCCCCTGGCTATCCCCTTCCTCTCGTCTATGAACAGAGTAAAAGGCTTGGCCACATCTGGTAAGGCCAATGCCGGAGCAGAGAGGAGGGCCTTTTTGATGTTGTCAAAGGCCTTTTGATGAGTCTCTCCCCATTCGAAGGGATTCCCTTGTTTTGTCAGCGGGTAGAGGGGCTCTGCCAGGGTTGCAAAACCCGGAATCCAGAGGCGGCAGAATCCAGCTGTTCCCAAGAACTCGCGGACCTGTCGGGGGGTCTGTGGCCTGGGAATCTGGGTAACCGTGCTCTTCCGGGCCTCAGTGAGCCATCTCTTCCCCTCCTCTAGGGCATATCCCAAATATGTTACCCTCCGCTGACATATCTGTGCTTTCTTGGCCGAGACCCGGTATCCTAGGCGAGAGAGTTCTAAGAGCAAAGCCCCGGTACCTGCTTCACAGTCCTCTTTAGTGGCTCCTGCGAGGAGGAGGTCATCTACGTACTGGAGAAGAGTGACGTGCGGGTGGTCAGCGCGGAAGGCAGCCAGGTCTTGGTGAAGGGCCTCATCGAAGATGGTGGGAGAATTCTTAAATCCTTGGGGAAGCCGGGTCCAGGTCAGCTGCCCCGTTATCCCTGAGTCTGGGTCTCTCCATTCAAAGGCGAAGATGTTTTGACTGGCGGGATGTAACCGTAGGCAGAAGAAGGCATCCTTTAGGTCTAAAACTGAATACCACACGTGAGACGGAGGGATGGAACTTAGGAGATTGTAAGGATTGGGAACCGTGGGATGAATGTCTTGCACCCTCTTGTTGACCTCTCTTAAGTCCTGCACTGGTCGGTAGTCATTAGTTCCAGGTTTCTTTACTGGAAGGAGTGGGGTGTTCCACGGGGAGTGGCATTTGACCAAAACCCCTAGGTGCAAGAGGCGTTGGATATGGACCTTGATCCCCCTCCAGGCCTCTTTCGCCATGGGATACTGTCGCACTGCAATCGGGGTTGCAGAGGACTTGATTTCTATTATTACGGGGGGCCGTTCGACAGCCAGGCCCATCCCCGCAGTCTCAGCCCAGGCCTTAGGGTATTTATGTAGCCACTCCGCTAACCCCTCACTCTGTTGAATTCTGTCCTCAAACAGCCGGTGCTCATCTTCGAGTTGAAGTGTCAAGAGGGTAATTGGTTCCCCATGCTGGGTCAGGGTCGGCCCCCGTGGGGTGAAAGTGATCTGGGCCCCCATTTTGGTTAGCAGATCCCTCCCAAGCAGAGGTGCAGGGCACTCGGGGATGACCAGGAACGAGTGGGTTACCCGTCCCGCTCCTAAGTCTACTGTTCTTCGGGTAGTCCATGAGTATTGTTCATTCCCCGTTGCCCCTATTACCCAGGAGGTCTTCTGGGAGACCGGCCCTAGCGGTTTCTTAAGAACTGAATACTGGGCTCCTGTGTCCACTAGGAAGTTGACAGGCTTCCCCTCCACCTTAAGAGTTACCCTAGGCTCGGGGAGGGGGTCCGAGCCCCGACCTCTTCAATCACTATCTTCCTGGAGTGCCAGCGCCTTTTTCGCTAGCTTCTTCGGGCACTCCCGCTTCCAATGTCCTTCTTCCTTGCAGTAGGCACATTGGTTTTTCCCTAACGGTGGCCTGTTGCCCAGGTTACCTACCTGCCTTCCCTTTCCTTTCTCCTGTGGTTTACTTCCTTCTATTGCTGCGGCCAAGATACGGGTTAGCCTTTTCTCTTCCCTTTTTTCTTTTTTCTCTTCCCTTTCCTCTCTCTCTCTCTCTCTCCGCTGCTCCTTCTCCTCCTCAGTCTCCCTCTTGTGGTATACTTTCTCTGCCTCTTTAACTAAGTCCTGGAGGGTAAAATCCTGCAGTCCCTCAAGCCTCTGTAACTTTTTCTTAATATCTAACGCTGACTGCCCTATGAAGGCCATGGCTACCGAGGCCTTCTGTCCCTCCGAGGCGGGGTCAAAGGGGGTGTATCGTCTGAACGCCTCCATCAGCCGTTCAAGAAAAACAGAGGGTGGTTCAGTGGGCCCCTGGATGACCTCCCTTACCTTAGCCAAATTCGTGGGGCGCCGCGCTGCCCCTCTGAGGCCGGCCACTAGTGTCTGGCGGTAGACTTTTAGGTACTCCCTACCTTCTGCCGTGTTGAAGTCCCAGTCCGGCCTGGCCAAAGGAAAGGCCGCATCTACCAGATGGGGGAGTTGGGTCGGCCGGCCGTCGGGGCCGGGAGCGTTCTTTCGGGCCTCCAAAAGAATCCGCTCCCGTTCTTCTGTAGTAAAGAGAGTCTGGAGAAGCTGCTGACAGTCGTCCCAAGTGGGCTGGTGAGAGAACATAAGGGACTCAACTAATCCTGTTAGGCGTTGGGGATCCTCTGAAAAGGGAGGGTGGTTAGTTTTCCAGTTATAGAGGTCTGCCGAGGAGAAGGGCCAGTACTGGAGTGGCTGGAGCGGGGCCGACTCGTCATCCTCCCCGCGAGGGGGTGGAGGTCCGTACGGCCGGAGAGGACAAGCCACAGTCGAATCTGGGGACGCAGGGTGTCTCCTCTGACTCCGGGTTCCTTGGGCTGGCCCCTCTGCTGGAGGAGCGGGGGGTGCCGCAGGTTCTGGTCTCTCTGGTGGCTCTGGCTGGAGAGGAGAGGGGTAAGGGGGTGGGGAGTCCAAGAGGAGAAGATCGGCTTGGGAGTCAGCCAAGGGACGTTTCGCCTGATCTGCAGGAGGGGTCTGGGCCACGAGAACCCGGGAGGCTCCCGACGCCAGCCAGGGCTTGAGCCAAGGGGGAGGGTTTTGGACCAGGTCCTGCCACACGACGATGTATGGCCGCTGGTCCGGGTGGCCTGCCGCCCCTGACTGGAACACCTTGTTCTTTACTGCAAAAATAATAGATAGGTCAAAAGTCCCATCCGCTGGCCACCCTACACCTAGGGCTGGCCAGTCAGATGAACAGAAAGTCTGCCAAGGACCCTTCTTAACACTGACGGAGAGGTTGAGTCCCCGACTCCGGACGTCCTTCCAATGTGCCACTGTGAGAGAAAGAGGGGTGCTGCTTCCTTGGCCCATGTTACCTGGATGGGAGAGGAGGAGCAGAAGACAAAAACAAAGAACAAAAAGCGACACGACGAGACACCGGACCCACACGAATTTACACAGATACAAAATGACTGCTGAGGGACGATATCCCTCCCTGACGCTGGTCTGGCCGGACACACGAGTGCCCGTTGCCAGGCAGCCAGAAGTGACCAGGACCTCCCGGTCACCACCCGTCCCCGGGGCGTCCCCCAGGGTGACAGTTTTTCTGGTCGAAGACCCTTCAACCAGAGAAGCCGTCTCCTTACGGAGCCGGCAACCTGCCGTTCCGAAAAACCGAAACTGAGGACGAACAGAAGACAGAACGAACACTGAGCGACTCCGGAGTCTGCTTACCTCCAAGACCGATCTGGGCGCTTGAAGGGGGGTCGCCCCAAATCCCGGACGAGCCCCCAAATGTAGGGTCCCAGGACCCCCGGTGTATCCGACGGAAGAGGCGACGGCCCCAAATCAAGCGCAGAGACCAGAACTTGATGCAAGAGCAAGAGGTTTCTTTTTATTACAAGCGCGGCGCAGGGACTCGCAGCCAGACAGGCAGCAACCCGAGGGAAGTGCTGGCTGACTGGAGTCCTGAGTAAGGGCAAAGCATGAGCTTATAAAGGCAAAAACCACACGCAGGTGGCCTGGAGAGCAGGAATTTGGTCTAACAATCAACTCATAATTCACTTCTCACAAGGACAGCCTGTGTTTGTAGTCGACTATTTCCCAAGGACAGCAGGAATCCGGGTTATCAGTTAACTCATAGCTCATCTCCTGCAATCTCCTGCAAGGACAGGCCAGTGTTTGTAGTTGCCTGAGGGGCAGAGTGGTCTGTCTTTACACCACCCGATCCCAGGAGGAGATAAGATAGCTATGCTATGACCAGACCAGAGCACCAGAGCTTACGGGAAAGGTCAGTTAAAACACAGGAAGGGGGGGAGGGTTTCTTTTTGATCTTACATTAACCAGGGCCTGCTGGAAAAGTTAGTTAAGAGGGGGAAGGGAGGTTTCAGCGGCCTTACAGAACGACGGCCCTTGACTCTTTCCACTACTCCGTCTCCTCTCTGGCGATTACTTCTGAAAAAATTCTACTAGGGCCCTGACCGGTTTGGCTCAGTGGATAGAGTGCCGACCTGCGGACTGAAGGGTCCCAGGTTCGATTCCGGTCAAGGGCATGTACCTTGGTTGCGGGCACATCCCCAGTAGGAGATGTGCAGGAGGCAGCTGATCAATGTTTCTCTCACATTGATGTTTCTAACTCTCTATCCCTCTCCCTTCCTCTCTGTGAAAAATCAATAAAATATATTAAAAAAAATTCTACTAGGGACCTCGAGGATAACGAAGAGAGGACCTAGAAAGTGTGCGGAGCCCTACAGAAGGCCAGGGTAGGAGCAGGGCTGCCTCCTCCGAGGACGCTGCTCAGGGAACGGATGGGACACGCCCACTAACGGGTGGCCGCCTCCGGTTCCATCCCCGGCCGGTGGGGCTTGCCTCTCAGTCGGGTGTGAGCGTCCTGGCCAGCGCCGAGGCTGAGCGGGCAGCACCCGCAGGCCAGGCCGAGGGCGCGCTCGGGAACACCGACGCCTCCCGCCCGCCGCGGCGCACGTGCGGGGCCGGGGCCGGGGCCGGGGGCCGGGCTGGGGCGGCTGGGGCGGCTGGGGCGGATGGAAGCGGCCAGCTCCCGGCGCCGCCGCCGCCCGCCCGCCAGCCCCGGTGGTTGGGCGGAGGAAGCGCGGGACTCCTCCCCGCCGTATTAACATGCACCCAGAGGCGGGTGACCAGCCCAGCTCGCGGTGTCCCCGCGCTCAGTCTCTGCGCCAGAGGCGAGCGCTGCGCTCCCGTCGCCGCGATCCCGGGGACACGGCCTCTTCGACACCTGGAGCCCCGGTGAAGCGGCAGCATCAGCATCAGCATCAGCATCAGTGGCAGGAGCGGCCGCAGCCGCCTCGGCTCCACTCCCAAGTCCTTCCCCTCACCCCGCGGAGAGCCTGTCCCGACCCGGGACACCCCTTTCACCCTCCGTCCTCCGAAGCTGCCGGGACTGACAGACGGTCGCAGGGAGGACCGAGGGCCGGACTGCGAGCAGCGGCAAGGTAACGCCGGGCGGCGCCGGGGAGCCGGGGCGTGAACGGGTGGTGGCGGCCCCCGGAACCCAGGACATCGCCACGGCCACGGTCGTGGTGCGCTAGGTGTCTTGCCCGCTGCGAGGTTTCTGCGTCTCTCGCCAGCGTAGGGGCTGTGGGATGGGCTCCTGGCCACCCGCCCCCGCGGGGACCACTTGCCCTGGCCTGGGGCGCACCCCGGGCTCGGCCCCCTGAGGGTCCCGGGAATCCGGGGCGGCGCGCCCCTCTCCAGGCGAGCTGTCCTCGCCGCTCTCCCCGGGCCCGGGAAGGGATGGATTTCTAATTGCGACAGGGTCCCGGAAGGGGGAGGGGAGAAGAACCCACTCCTGGGCATCTCCCCGAGCCAAACTCACACCCCTCCGGTCCCCACCCCCTGATGCACCTCGCAGGGGAGGAGGGGGCTGCTCACTGCAGGGGTTTCTCGACTCCTGAGTCGTTTCCAAAGCAAGTTGTTGCACTTGCTTTTTAGGTGACATTTTGGCATTGGTTGCGGAGCCTCCTCCGTGTGTGTATGCGCGCGCGCAAGAGAGAGAAAGCCAGAGAAACAGAGGCACAAAGAGAGACAGAGGCACCGGGTGAGATCGAGGTACAGCAACACACACACACACACACACACACACACACACACACACACACACACACACACACACACACTGTACACACACAGTACACACACCAGGGTCCTAGGAGGAGGCTACTGGAGAGTTCCTGGCGAATGGGGTGGCGAGCGATGAGACCCGGTATTCAGCGACTTGAATGAGCGGGGTTGCAGCCCAGACCAAACGGGGACCTGTCCTCGTGGCCGGGAGAGATAACAAATTGCACTTTCATTGAGGGGCGGCTGCAGCTGCAGGAGGGACCTTCGCGGGCCCCGCGGGGATGAAGACCCTGCATTCAGGACTGTGGCTGCTTCACTCTTCGGGCAAGGCGAGCTGCCCCTGCTTCCCGGGGTGGCAGTGAGTGGGAGGGGGGCATGGGGAGGGGCGGCCCGCTGCTCGCTGCTCCGGTGTCCAAGACATGGAATGCCTATGCCTGCGCACCAGTCTGTCCCCCGCTCCTGAGCTCGCTCCCTCCTGGCCAGTAGCGCTGCGGAATTGTCTGTCTGAGAAGAGGAAGGCTTTTGAAGGGGAACGCATTTGAGGTGGAGAGACCGTCGGGACAGGGACCCCGGGGGTGAGATGTTCTTTCTTTTATGGACTCAGGAGAGACTGTACACGCTTGACAGTGTGAGTCTGGCTCCGGGGTGGGAGAGATCGATGCTCCCAGTCTGACCCGGGAACAACATGTGAAGTTATGGAATTACACGATGAAAGAGGTAGAATAGAAGTGCCAATTAAAGACAGATCTTTAGCTTTGGTAGTCTTCACCAATGACTTTGTGAAGTGCTCATGGAACAATCTGAGTTGTAGTCAGACCCTGGGAGGAGGAATGTGTTTAGAACCAGGAAAGTGATTTTAGGACCGAATGCAAACACCACCCCATGTAAATTGTTACCAGAAAGGTGCTCACTGCCTTTTGACTGTTACTTATAGCAGGATTTTGTGGCAGGAAACAACTTTGCACTGGCCTAAGTTTGCAGATATAGCAATAGTCTTTTCCCTAACTTGAATGGAAATGACATGAAGGCAAGAGATGTTACAAGTATCCTAATTTACTCAATGTCAAAAGGATAAAGGTTTCTTTGCTTATATTTTTAAAAAGGAAATTCAAAGCCTTAAGGAAATATTGAATCTATCTATCTAAAATATATGAAATTTAATATTTTGGATAGAAAAGATACCCTTGTTTCAGAAAATCATATGCTGTCATGACATAGGAAAGTTCATAGAAATTTGATGTCAATAGCCTTGTTATTCATTTCCTTAGGATTTATTATTTCAAAGTTTAAAGGTGCTGTAGGGAAGTCACTGCATTCAAATATTTCTAGTTCCAGATTTAAAATTCCCTGATTTTTAAAAATTGTCTCACTGAGGAGAAAGTATTAGTTTACTTTATATGAGGAAAACTTGGATGCATTTGCAAATATGGGGTATTTTTTAAAATTTACATGTGTTTATAAAACACAGGAAGAATTGTGCTTGGGGGGAATAATATATATGAGTTATCTTTATGGGATATTTTCATGATTTAGCATCTTTAATTTCTTCAATATAAACTTTGTTCTGCCAGGATGAAAACCTTGGGAAACCATATCAGTGATTATTGAAATCAAGACTTTTCTCTCAAAATATTATGGAGCCCATAAAAAGAAATAGCCTAAAACTAAGTGCTGTTCTACTTCCTAAGTCCTTTTAAGTACAAGTGCCTGATTGAATCACACTTGGAAATACAAATGACATGTACTTAGATTTAACTCCATTGGGTATATATGCCTTTGATTCGTAGCCATCTAGATTGATTTTTTAAAATATAAAATTAAAATTGGGAAGAGGGGAATTGAAGTTTTACTGTCTACTCATTTAGCATACTTAGTAGCATAGTAGTAGTTCAGCTACAACTTAATTGAGACATGTGCCATATTCCCTGAATAGAAACTTCTCCAGAAAAGAAGAATTCAGCATTCTGATTTTGTATTTCAAGTACATAAAAAAATAGTAAAGTTCTATCTAACCCTATATTTTTATAGTGAGATTTCTAGGATAGATTCAAATTCACATTATGGTGCCTTCTTGGTCATTCCCATAAATTGTTCCGCCCTTTATCAGAGCAATTCTGCTCCATGCCAAAGGACCTGTTTCCTCTTAGGAAGCATTCAGTTGGAAGATTTTTATGAAGGTTTCATCGCTATAGAAACCACACCTGCCTCTCCATGCTTACTTTAAAGAAATGATGTACTTGTGAGTTCTTTTGATTCTTTTCTCTTTTTCCTTTGGCAATTATTTCCTCCTGCTAAAGGAGCACCATTGAACAGGAGGGCTGAAAGGATTTTGGAAAATCGAGACACTTTTCTCTAATCCTCACCTCCCACACTTAAATCTTATGCCTTATGTCTGTGGTATGTTGTTCTCTTTGCATATTTTTATTTTAAAACACAATCACAAGAAAGCTTTGCTTACATTCTAGAAACCTTTGTGCTGCTGAGACAGTTGGAAGTTCAAAAGCACCCCATGTCTTGGGTTGTCTCTTTTATTCCAGAAGATCTAAGGGCTTATAATTCTCTACTTTCAGAAACAGGGATACTTCCAGTGGTCCCCACATGACTTCCTCCCCCTGCCCCCCCTTTTTTTTTATCATGGGGCATTTGCAGTCTGTTACTATCCAGTGAAGGTGATTTTCTCTGGATGTGTGGTCCATCAGGAATTGCCAAAGATGTTGTTCCTAGGAAAGTAAAACATTCTTCAATCACAGAGGAGGATTTAGAGTTCATCTTCAATCATTTACCTTAATTTAGTAAAACGTTCACTGACAACTCATTGTATGAGATACCATGTACAAGTTCCTTTTCTTCTAACACATACTATCTGGCTTCTGCAAAATATATATTTTCTATATATAATACACCACTAATGCATAAAGCATTGCAGCATTTGTGTGTGTGTGTGTGTGTATATATATACATATACATACATATATATACATATATATGTGTATATATACATACATATATATATATGCTACTTTTTTTTTGTAACCCTGCAACACACAAACCTGCAGAGCAAAACATGGGACTGAGAACAGGAAAGTTGAGATGTGGCTATAGGGAGGCTAAAATGGTGACTGACTTCCCTTTGAGGTCCTTTCTTTCTTGGTCCGATTGCACAGAGGTTGGTATTGCATATGAGATGTGATGACCCATCAATTTTACTTCCTTTGCTGTAGCAAATGGTGGGGGCCAGACAACCAGTATACGAGTGAGAAACTGGAGATATTCTCTGCCTTTATTGGCTTAAGATTTCTCCTGGTCGGTGTTGACTATTGTTTTCTCCTTCCTGTAGTAGTTGATGATGCCTGGATAAAAAATGACATCCCACTTCAAAAGGCACATCACATAAAGGAAGCCCTCTGGATATAGAGCCACAGATCTTTGGCCCAGAATCTTGGGCGTTTTCTTGGGTAGTTGAGAACCAACGTAGCTAGGCTGTGGTTGACCCACATGGGGTTGTTGTGAACTGGATATCAATGCTCTGGATCTGCTTCAAGACACAAACCCACAGTCCTGGTCATCGCCTGAAACTAAACTGCATTTTCATATTAACTTATCATAGTTCACTCACCTGATGTCGTTGACAATTTCTGGATCTTCTCTCAATTTTTTCTTATCGGATTTGTAAGCAGCAACACAAAAGCAAGCATGAAGAGTGTGATTTGGCAGTGTGTCAACTGCCTAGCCCTGCCAGGTCTCCTTAGCATTCAGCAAAGCAGAGGGCTTTTGGAAGCCATGGATAAGCATTTAGGAGAGGAGGATTTGTGCTGGGACTTGCTCATCTCCCTGGTTTGTGCATCTCAGTTTGCAGCAGGAGGACTCAGAGACATTTATTTAAATGGCTCCCTTAGGCAGCTCTTGGGTCTCTCTCTCTCTCTCTCTCTCTCTCTCTCTCTCTCTCTCTCGGCACATTTCCAGCTGACACGATTTTGGCTAATTTGAAAACATCTGCTAGAGTAACTTCCCTTTTCATTCTGCTACTGGAGAATGGCTATGAGTATATGATAGGAGGACAGGCATGAAGCCTTACTCTAACCTCATGATTATAAACTTTCCCAGGGGACTTCTCCTTTCCTGGTTTCAATTTCAGTGGAAATGCAGTATGAAATGTATTTCTGGACTAGAAAATTTCCTGCTAGATATCACTGAGATTTCTTTATAAAACACATGCTGCAGTTTCAGAGGAAAATGGCATTTTGATCTTGTCTCAGACTTTGCAAACACTATCCTTTGATATGATTCATCATACTACTCTACCAAAAAGACAAGGCACAGTTACTCCTAAAAGGTTCTTTTTCCAGACAGGAACCCAGAAGGCAAAGGAACCGTTTCCATTTTTCTTTTGAACAGGGAGGCACTTTTCCAGTTGGAGCTAGGAATAGGCAGCAGAGGAAC